GAAAGCAGTGTTGTGGATGGGACATATGTGTCTGCGACTGCAGCTTTGCTAAAGCTAAACAACATGCCGTTATTTCACCAGCCACGTGCTTATATAGAAAGAATCATTCTTCGTGGACCACAAGCAAATTATACGGGTAAGGGTAAAAGTTTAGGTAGTGGAAGTTAAGGATACAGCGTTTACGAAATTATTATACGCAACCTATTACGTAAAATGTAGTGTAAATGAAATGTTGTGTAAACTGGCTAATTAGCATAAATCTAAAATGGCCGCCATTTTCAAGTTTGAGGCTAGTTTGCCCTAGATAGTACAGGAGCTAAGAGCCAAAAATCAGATGAATTAATTATGCACTTTTTGACAAAAGCATGAAAATTTTCATAACGGTAGTTTAAGATATGTACATTCATATGAGATCGAGTACCCATCTCCATCGGTATGGTATCTGGGCGCCATCTTGAATTTAAAAATGGCCACCATCAAAATCCATTATCTTATATTTTTCAGCTAATATTGAACATAGAAACAGGATTTTTGTATCTAAACCAACACTATCGGGGTCAAGAAACCCATTACAATCAAAATCATTATCGGTCAGTGGCCGCCATCTTGGATTTCAAAATGACCGCCATTCAAATTCGGAACCATGACGTCATAACATAGATATGACGCCATTACATGCGAATTTCAATGGAACGGCTATACCGACTGCTGCTTCACTCATTATATCGCTGACAATGTTGATCACAATATACGTACCTTGGACGGCCGAGGTTCCCTTCCAAGGAATGGGCATAATTCTCGCTTCAACCCCAGGACTCAAACAAAAACATGCTGTACCAAGTATATACTTGCCAGAGAGTGGTTTATCTGATGCAAAAATTGTGGTCAAGTACTACAGAGAAAATGCTACTACAGATGTTCAGTTACTGTATAGAAAATTACCAATCATCAGTGCAATTAATGAATGCCAGAAACTTGACACCCTGTGGGAAATATCTTGGCCATTGAGATCAAATCGGCCAGTTTGGTCCGGTATGATGCAGGCAGTTACAGATGGGGTTCATACTGGAAAGGCATCTATCCATTTTCTTCCAATGATGGATATGGACTCATCTGATTTGAGTTGCATCTTTTCTACTCTTTACTTTGTTGCTGAGAAGAATAAGTGACATGGAACTATGCCTGTCATCACCTTTGATCAACCACTGTGGTGGAAGGCCAAGACCATCATAACAAGGGAGAATGAAGGAAGTGACCTCAAGAGGATAGAGCTGCATTTGGGCGGATTTCACTATATCATGAGTTTCCTTGGCAGAATCGGACATGTGATGAAATCATCTGGGCTAGCAGATGTGTTGGACATTGTTTATGCGGAAAATACAGTGAACCACATTTTAACAGGAAAAGCATATGCACGAGCAATACGTGGCCATCTTCTGGTGGATGCTTCTCTCAATGCCCTTGTGCTCCAAAGAGCATATGACATCTCTTTTCCTGCTGATGAATCAGAGATCAACAAAATCCCTGACTTAAAGAAGGCTCTTGAGACGGTTGACACTCTTCTTGAAACTCTTGATGAGAAAACCACTGACCCTCCTGATGAGAGCTTAACACAAGTAGCTTAACAGATGAAGGCAAAAATGCACAAGATCAAGCAAAGTCCAACAGGCAAATTGCGGGTCCAATATATGAACATGGTTGATCTCCTGCGGTTATTACTCAAACTCCTTCGCACAGGACACTTCATGCTCTACCTATGTACCCTCCAGCAGATGCTTCGATTCTATGCCGCAACTGGACACTCCAACTATGCGAAATCTGTGTATATCTACATACAAGATATGTTAGATCTCAAACACACAAAACCAGATTTATTCAACAAATATGATTCAGGACCATTTGTTGTCCGCAAGACTGATCGGTTCTGGGCAGGACTACCACCAGATCTAGTAATAGAGCAGGTGCTAATGCGATTATTAAAGATAACCGGTGATTCTTCACAAATTCAGAGAATAAACAAGACTTCATTGAACTTCTCAGTAAAAAAATGCATACAAATGAAATCAGAACCCTCCAGGCAGATGCCGACGCCGATTTACTCATAGCAAAGACAACCATTGACCATGCCACAGCTGGGATTACACATGTCATTGGAGAGGACACTGACATTCTAATATTTCTTTGTCATCATGCAGATCCATGTTCCAGGAGTCTATATTTTAGGTAAGAAAACCTGACAGCAAAGTATTCTATTTGGGACATTTATTTGCTATGAAAAAGGCTTGGTGATGAGGCTTGCCATGCTCTACCTTTCATACATGCCATTTCCGGATGTGACACTACCTCCCGTCTGTTTGGAATTGGAAAAGGTGCTGCCATCAAGAAAGCACAGAAAGATAAGCTGTTCATGAAACAAGCACAAGTGTTTTCTTCGAATAAGACTGCCGAAAAAAATCTGGAAGCTGGAGAAAAAGCATTGATGTTTCTTTATGGAGGGTCAACTACGGACACCTTGAATTCCCTGCGCAAGAGGAAGTTTAGTGAAAACGTTTTAAAAGGTATCATAAGTGTGGATGTTCAAACCCTTCCCTCAACATCAGATTCTGCAAAGTATCACTCTTACAGAGTTTATTACCAGGTTCAAGTTTGGATAGGGAAGGGTACGGATCTGAATCCGGAAGATTTGGGTTGGCAGTCACAGAGCAGTAGCTTTGAGCCTGTTACTATGGATGGCCCACCAGCTCCAGAATCTCTCCTTAAAGGTGCCAATGTAAAGGACAATGTGACAATAATAGATGTAGCTACATGTACCATTGCATGTAGTGAATGTCAGGATGGAAGCTGTAAAAATATTTTGGTTGATTGTGATGCTGCGGACTCGGAGGACCTTGACTTGTGATTAGACTTTGTGTGTCACCTTGCTTATGACTGATGCAGACTGGTATGAATAGTTTTTACAGGCTAGATTGATTCTTTGTATCCCTTTGTATATATGTATATTTGTATATTGTTATGTATATTGTATATTTGTATATTTGTATATTTGTATATTATTATGTATATTGTATATTTGTATATTTGTATATCCATTTGTAATAATTTTGTATACACGCCGTTGTGAAGGCGTCTTATAAGTAATTACATCACTGTAAATAGTGAAAGTAAAAAAGACAATTCCACTTTTTTCACAAAATGCAAGTAATTCTGTTTACTTTTTATGGTTAAATTGCTGAATTATTAAATATAAAATGATAATGGATTTGGATAGCGGCCATTTTGAAATTTAAGATGGCGGCCACCGACCGATAATGGTTTCGATTGTAATAGGTTTCTTGACCCCGATAATGTTGGTTTAGACACCAAGATCATGTTTCTATGTTGAATATTAGCTGAAATATGAAAGATAATAGATTTGGATGGTGGCTATTTTAAAATTCAAGATGCGCCCCCACACCGACCAATAATGGTTTTAATTGTAATGGGTTTCTTGACCCCGATAATTTTGGTTTAGATACCAAAATCTTGTTTCTATGTTGAATATTAGCTGAAAAATGTAAGATGCTGGATTTTGATGGTGGTCCTTTTTAAATTTAAGATGGCGCCCAGATACCATACCGATGGAGATAGGTACCCAATCTCATATGAATGTTCATATCTGAAACTACCGTTATGCAAATTTTCATGCTTTTGTCAAAAGTGCACAATTAATAATAATTTTTCAGATTTTTGGCTCTTAGCTCCTGTACTATCTAGGACAAACTAGTCTCAAACTTGAAAATGGCGGCCATTTTGGATTTATGCTAATTAGCCAATTTCCCGTGGTCCGATTTTGGCAGATTTTGCATATGAAGTTTAGGAGGGTCCAATCAACAACTTCCAACAATAAAACCTTCTTTTGCAATCTGTTCCAGGTAAGCCAAAAAAATTCATATATTGACTGGACTATGTTCAGTTCTTGCCTTCTCGCCTATGGTGATAATTGACCGCATCTGTTCAATATGCATTTATATGTTCTCTGCATATACGAGTGGAACTGGGTAATTAGTTTATAACTATGGATATAAACAATCCGCGTGTGAAAATATCATATCTAACATCTAGCTTATACGCAAGAAACGCAATCTTTTAGGAATACAAACGTTTTTTTAATAAACTAACGCGATAACATATAAATAAGGCGGCATCCCTTTTTATTTTGTGTCTTCGCATGAAGGATTTAATTACATACGGTTTTTGTGTAAAAGCTTCAGTTTTTACAGTTTTCAGCGCCAAAAAACTGCGCGAATGCAACAAACATTAGTCACGTCTGAGACGATAATATGAGACGTAGAACGTAAACGTGTACATGAGCACGTCAATAGACACACAGTGCCATACCGCATGTCTTACGTGGTGATTTCGAGTTATTCTCTCACCGTATACATCGGTAATTAATTTTAAACTATAGAGGAACTAAAGTAGATATTAGAGTCTGCAGTTCTTCCGGATTTCGTCATACTGGGTTTCGCCTACGAAAAGAATAATTAGCGATGCCGACTAAAAAGGCTAACTACCTGCCTTTACCCAAGCTAGGTCACACCCCATGGCTAGCTATAGCACTGGACGTTTATTCCTTACGGAATGTCCCTGCGTTATTATCCACATAACCGTGGGCTACGCAGTAAACTATCCATGAGATCTACAGATCTATATATCAAATTTCCGCACACGTCTATCTCTCTATCTATCCATCTCTCTATCTATCCATCTCTCTATCTATCCATCTCTCCATCTATCCATCTCTCTATCTGTCTACATAGAAACTATACTACGTGACGTATATATCGCACTGACGAAACCCACGCAGCATCCCACGCAGCTGTCACCGGGGTGGGACGTGATTGGTCGCCGAGGCTGGCACACATTCGTGACGTTTTCACTTGTTTATGATTTCGCAATACCTGTGGGCAGTTGCCTCTATCTACTCTCGCATGCATGCCTCACGCGTCGCACATTTAAGGCTGTGGTACAGAGTGCGTCCCTGTCCAGGTGTGGATGCTTAACGACGATAGCAAACGCACAGAGTGTTGGCGCTGGTATTCCACCAAGAAGTTTTTCGTGAATATAGATTACCGCTGGTGAGTAATATGAGAGTGTATATGATTTGGGTGGTAGTGGTTGTATGGTTTGATGCGTAGTGCGCGTATTTGTGTGCGTGTGGTGTATGTTTAGACAGAATGAGTAGGTAGCTGACTTATGAATGTAGTGCGCGTTCTAATAAGGATATTTATGTTTCTACATCATGACAGCTAATTACAATAATCAGATCGTTAAAATAGCATATTATATTTGAGAAAAAAACAAATTCTCGGTTAAACGGTAATCTGATGGAAATTAACGATATAGCCGTTGCTGTTTAATGCGTAACTAATTATCAACCTAATGTGTCAACATTTCCGTAGAAATATATAGGCCTTTGCAGCAAGTAATATGATTCAAATTCAACCATGACGTGTTTTAATAATTGTTACAGAAACATATTGAAAGGATAACAATCAATGCTCAGTGTTCTATTGACTATATAAAAAAAATCGTTTACAAACGTCGACCTTTCTTTTTGCGAAAATTCGGTGGATCATGTTTGGACTGTGCATGTTACTCCTGGCGATTAATCGCTATCCAACCTTTCACACCAAATTTCTCCTGGTTAAACTGCCGCTGGCAAAAAAATGATGCAGAACGTTGGACTTGGACAAGTGCGGTTTTCGCCTATATATATTTATACTATATATAATTATTACAGTTTATCTGAAGCCGTTAAAAACGGAGGGGGGCGAAAAATCTCGCCCGTACTCACGTGAGGTTTTTGGTTAATGATATCAGGTGTTAATAATTGTATAAATATAATATATATTATATATAAATATAATTGTACAAATTTGTATAGAATTGTATACGATAGTAAGTTTCGCGGGAAGCGTCGGTGATCGTCTGATGTTTCTCTCGTGTCCTGCCGCTGTGAAGCAATCCAGCTATTTATATCACGTGCGGCGATACTACAGCTACTGTATACGCCATATTTTTCGCGTACGGATATTTTCGCGAATTCAGACTTGACGGACAATTTCGCGAGTGATTAATTTCGCGGTCGGTGAATTATGAATTATTCGGTATTATTCGGTATGAATTATTCGCGTGTTGGGGACGCTGTTGCGAAATTCGCGAAAATTAAACCACCGCGAAATATACAGCGTATGCAGTAACGGATCTTACCGATAACAACATATGCATTATAGTAATACCAACTACTTACGGAGTATAGCGTGCGACGATGAAGGCAATGTATTCTGAAGACGCTCTGAAGGTTTATAGACTTGGACGCACATGCGGTATACCTCCGTAGGCGTTGATTAATTCTCCTTTTTGCAGATGTTAATTAATTAAGTGATGCATTAATTGCTAGGGCCGTAAGGACTCTTCAAGTTCAACCTTTCTACGTGTGGGTCTTCAAATACGTCAGTGAAAAGTAAGCGTGTAATAGCATGAGAATAATACGAATTGGTAAATTATGGTTTATGCCCGAGATATAACTGTGGCTTTAGATATAACTGCGATTGTTTTCTTCTTGCTGTTCGCTATGAGAATGTGTCTTAGGCTGTCTATAATCGAAAATCGACAATAATGCACATATTCCAGCTATTCCGTGCAAGCATATACCATCTATGGGCGGGTGGAAGGTGTACGTGTTAGCAAGATGTTGTGTGTGAGAAAATAGGTAAATAGGTAGCTAAATTTTGTTCGTTAAGCTAAAATGTGAAATTTCAGCGTTTATTGCAAATCAAGTTCATCGTAGGCCAACGACGTAGTTTATTGACGCGCCAACAAGTTAAACGGATACGTACTCTGGCATGTATCCAGGCAGCATTTAACTCGGTGATTTTCACACGTCAGAACTTATGCTTGCTTGAATATTCGCGCTCGTTTCGGGGGTTAAAGTTACCCGAATTAAGCGACACCCGGTTACATATTCGATGCCTTCACACGACGAAGGATTATCCGAATATATATATATAATTGGCCCAAAATTGCTTAAATATTTCAAAATTTTCTGGGGGGGCATGCCCCCAGACCCCCCTAGCACTGGCATGGCTACGGCACGTGCCAAACGTACGGTTGTCAAATTTGCCATGTGCGTGCATGTTAGTATGCATGTATAAATGTATGTACGTGTGTGTGTGTGTGTGTGTGTGTGTGTGTGTGTGTGTGTGTGTGTGTGTGTGTGTGTGTGTGTGTG